TTGACATATAATCACACGTCTACTCACGCCTTCTACCCTCGCTGGCTGCTCAGAGGGGCTTGACAGTGTGCGCTGCAGGGGCAGGGCAGGGGGCTCGCAAGTGCAGCTTAGTGCTGGCAGTGGCCTTGATCTCCAGAGACGGAGACAGACCACGTCTGCTGATGGTAACCCACATTTATTCCATGTCTGTGAGGAGAGATGGGGAATTGTTCTCTGTTCTGTTAAGAGTCATTTTAGATTTGCCTGATTCCATCTTTTCCTTATGATCTGGTAAAAACGATGAGAGAAGAAAAATCCCGACTTAGTCCCTTGTGACAGAGCTGAGTGGGCCTATGGAGATAACTGTCCTTTTCTCTGCTAGTTCCCTGGAAGAGACAAAGGAATCACTACTGGTGATCTACAGGAACGAGATGGGGTGCTGGGAGTTGAACCTGGTTGGCTGCATGCAAGGCAAGTGCCCTACCTGTTGTACTATTGCTCTGGCCACCCCACTGACTTTATAAACAACTTCTGCCATCTGTGTGTTTTAGAAGGAATGCTAATCTTAAATTTAACTACAGCACATTATTTCTATGAAAAATAAGAAGAGAGGCAATTAGTTTACTTTGACCAAAAATGCTTTGACAGAAATACAGAAAAAAATACATTTTTTCCTACAAGAAAATTGAATAAATGTGGGTTAAAATCATCGCTATTTACTCCTTAACCTGATTGAATATATACATATCAAAATAAAAATTGATGATTTTTATATCTAGAGAAAATTTTAATAGCTTACATAACTTGGAACATGGAAAATTTGAAGGAGTAACAGAGTTGATTTTCAAAATACCTCCTGTAGACATACTGACAAAAACTGGCATTGAAGGAAAAAAACTAACAGTGTTTGCTGTAAGAGGAATTAAACCAGAAACCAAAATATTAAACTTTTTTGAAAGCCCTAGGTTTCTTTGTGAAGCACTGAAAAAAAAAAAAAAACGACCTGGTTTTCAAATCACGTTAGTCTCTTTAAAAAATAAGACCACAATTTCACTTCAGATGAAATGTACTCTGTCAAGGATTAAAATAATAACTGTGGTGTGACATTTGGGCTGAAAAATAGATGACTTCAAAAGGTCATGTCAACCCAATCCTGACAATGGTGGTCACTCTGCTAATTAAGACTCCAGACACTGTGGAATTTTAACTTTACAACTAAATAGCACACATACAGCAAGAACAAAGACTTTCATTAGCAAAGGACAATAGCAAAACTATTCTATTATGATAAGAAGAAATGATAAGTTTTATTGGAGAAAGAGAGAGCTTTTATGAGATATATTTTTATAGATCGAGAACAGGGAGAAGAACAAAACTTTATTCAAGGATGTGAATTTAAAAAACATGGAAGGTACTTTCACGAAGCTGCTCTGGTAAGCGCTGGGCAAAGCAGGCTGCTGCGAGAGCCTGTCTCACTTCCTGCCACTGCATTCGCTCCTCTGAGGATGGAGAAAAACTTCTCTGTGGAGAACACTGCTCAGGTGAAATCCCAACCTACCCTTCCTCCCCACCAATCAGGAGGAGGAACCAGGAGGAGGAACACGGATCCTTCCTGAGAAGCTACTATCTGCCTTGTGTTTCACAAAGGATACATATTTTTAAATTCTCTAGCATTCACTTATAAGCTCTGGGGTTTAAATATCTGCTAGATAAAGAATTCTTCCAAAAACCTTTTTAGATAATATTTCAAAAACTGGTTTTAATAATGGCAGTTTTTACCCAATATGGTGTTAAGTACTTCTACTACTCTTTGTTTAAATGGTTATTAATAGTGCACATTTAGAATACGTATAGTATGACCTCCACTGCCCAATCACCTCCATGCTCCAGGCCACTCTCCAGACACTCAGGCCAAGCCTCACGCAACAATGAAGTACCATATAATGTGGAACTTTGTGACCTTGGACTCTGAACTCAAGGGGACCCAGAACAGAAATCTTCTGCCTGCTTCCCCCAGGGAAGGGATCACACCCTTAAGCCACACCCTTACTAAGGGATCACACCCATAAGCCACATCATTTCCCCCAGGGAAGAGATAACACCCTGACTCAGGGATCACACCCATAAGCCACACCCTGTCAAAGGAACCAGATAATCTCCTCATTGGCCACCTTCCAGAACTCACGGATGTTCCTCCCATACGGGAGTATAAAAGGAGGCTCTCAGAACCATGCCACTGGACTCCGAGCCAGGCTGTGGGGTGGGTGAGAGCCCTCCCGAACCCAAGGGACCCAGCCCCAGCAGTCGATCTCCACGGTTCAACCACCACCACGCTCCAGGCCACTCTCCGGACTGCACAGTCGGAAGCAGCCTCGAGACACATTATAAGACACTTCCGCCCCATTTATGCCTCTCAGAGAGCCTGGCACGCTACCAAGAGTATCCCCCCACACTGGCAGTGCCTGGCAAGCTCCCCGTGGCATGTTCAATATGCCAAATACAGTAATGACAATAGGTCTCATTCCTCTCACCCTGAAAGAGCCTCCAATCGTTGGGAAAAGATGAGTAAGAAGAGGCTGCTAAAATCTCAGGGTTGGGAGGAATAGAGATGTTACTGGTACCCGCTTGAGTAATTCGATGACCAATGGGATGACAGTGATACAGTGATACTACAATATATTAGGTAACTGATGACTATTAAAGTTTCTATAGGAAAACAAATGATGTGGCCGAAGAGAGTGTAGTGAGGAGGGCATCTGCCCTGAACATGGCTGACCTGGGCTCGACCCCCCGGCACCACCTCTGGTCCTTGGAGCACCCTGAGGAGTGATCTCTGAGCACAGAGCCTGGAGAAAGTCCTGTGACAGTTGGGTGTGACCTCAAAAGCCCAAAATTAAAAAAATAAATAAAGAGGAGAAAAATGATCTAGGATTCTGGAAAAAAGCAAAACAATCCACCTTACCAGAGTTTGTTAAAATAAGGGTGGTTTGAAAGGTATAGCTTCCTGAGAGGGGGCATCACAGAGGTCAACACGTCCTTCCAAATCTCTCCAGTAACAGCAAGTGGTATTGTTCAAACCCTTGATGGCCCTAGACTTCCTGCTTAGCAGACATGGCATAGAACCCACATGAGGTAAAACGCTGAGGATGCTGTGACTCAAATCAGGAATCCAGGAACTTCAGAAGAGAAGCCACAGTTTTGAGCTCCAAACCTAAAACTACTCAGTATCTTTCTAATGCCTGGCACAGTGCCTTTTCTTTCATTTTTGTTTGTTTTGGGGCTACAGCTGGTGGTGCTCAGGGCTTACTCCTGGCAGTGTGGGGTCCCAGGGGTTGAAACTGGGTCAGTCGCACACCAGGCAGGTATTTGCTGTACTACTACTCTGGTGCAGTATGAGAATCTTTACAAAACAAATTACCTTGTGAATTGTGGTTGAAATAGTAAACTGCACCAACTGTATGAATGGACAGATCATAGTTTGACCCTAATGAGAAAGTCCTATCTGCACTAAGTCCTTGAGATCTATAGTGAATCTGGCGGGAAAAGAAAAGAACATCCCTGGGTGCTGGGGTGAGAAGCTTCTAGGTGACTGTTCTGTGCAAACAGCACCTCTAGGGAGACTCACTCCACTGGAACATAGGTCTCGTTTCCTCTACAAGACTTGATCAGACTGTCTGTGTTTAAGTGGATGCTTAAAATATCATGCTTATTCTTGAGTGATTCTTGAATTTTTACTTTCCATCACTACCTTGTCCTATTTATTTTTCAACTCTATTAATATACTATGGTCTGAAAGATGACATAACCCAGTAAAATGACCCAAGGAACCAAAAACAAGCAACGGGACTTTTATTTCTGTAGTTGTCTAATCCTGACACTTATATTTGGCAATAGGGAAATAGGTTTCCTTCTCTCTCTGAGTCCTAGGAAGGCTGTAGTAAACTGAAAATCCCGGGAGACATTTAACTTGTAATTTTTAAGTACACTTTTCACTCTCCACAGACCTTGGATTACATTAACCTTGGTTTTTACATTTCCTCTCAGGGGCACTCTGCTAACCAGTACACTATGATTTTTCACTCAGCTCATTTCTGTTTATGATGGGTCAACATGAAATTGTGGAAAAAAGGCAATTTCTAGACAGAGAGGTGAGTCTCCCTCCTGGGCAAACCTCAAGGTCTCTCTAGAGAGAATCAGTGTTGATTTTGAGCAAATAATCTCACAGATTAAGATTTTATAGATTTATGGGCTTGTTATATGGTATTTAACCAATATTAGACCATAATCAACCTATAAAACTTGCTAGTAACCAATACGCAGGTACAACAGACAATGTCAGTATCCTCTGTTGATGCCTCCCTGGAGTTCAGTGTCTAACTAAAGTGTCTAATTCCAATGTCATGGGCAGAGCACAGTATGAACCAACGTGGCCATCTGTGAGTTTGAGAACCTACCTCTATCCAGAGGAGAACATCAGCCAGCATCAAAGGTGCTGAGGAACTTCCTGAAGACCAAACCTTTTACTGCATGAAAGGTTTTGCTTTGTTTAGAGATAGATGCTCCCAGGTAGACCTCAGGAGCCCTGGGGCCACTGCTGGTGATGCTGCATTCAATGCTAGGACTCCCAAAATGAGGTCCTGTGTGGGTTCCATGGCTGCCCCAGGGGTTCTCAGGTCTCTGGGCCCAAACCCAGGGATGCTTAGGAACCTCTAGAACTACACTTTCTTATGCTTAAGAAGCCACAAGGTACTGGTGAATGAAGAACTCAGGACAGCGCATTCTCAACATAACGTGCACCATAAGCACTGTACTAGAAGATTCGTAGTCATCAGATCTGGCCTGGATATCTTTTTTTTTTTTAATAAAAGAAAAAAAATGCAGTTTCCCTTGCAAAGAAATGAAGGTGAGTTTAAACTCGGGAGACATGAGATCTGGGGGGAGACCTGGCCCGAGGGATGCATGCATGGAAAGGGAGAGTGTGAGGAGGAGGTCCGCAGGGCTGCAGAGGGAAGGGTACTCACTGCTGCCCCTTCTATGGGCTCCTCAGCTTGGGTGTCCAGTCCAGGTTCTGGTCCAGCGGCCAGCGGCTCCTCTGCAGTTGGCTCAGTGAGTGGAGCAGGTTCTGACTCAGCCTTTGTTTGGTTTGAGGGTTAGAGGGAAGAGATTCCATATGAGAAATGCTAACATAATGGAGATTTCTTTCATCATCTGTGTCGCACATGGCATTTTGAAATCTGAGTCTTATCAAAGCCCCATGTTGGGCATTTGGACCTCTATAGAGTGAAAAGATCTAGGAACGAACTCTTCCTGTAGCACTGCGTCAAGAACAGTCATTATGCTGGAGGTTCTGCTTCTCATCTACTTACCGGCAACATTCTGACGAGTAAGAGATCCAACAACAGTACTTTTGTGATTAAGCAGAGAGAAAGGAGATTCTAAGAGTTCTACATTTGCAGTTGGAAGTAGAGAGGAAGAGCTCTTGGGATATAAATTCTGGGGATTGCTCAGATCTACTGATATGTATTGTACCAAAAAAGTTGAATTGTTAGTCCAATATTCTGACTCAAATGTATCAGTTTGCCTGAGTAAGAAACTACAGTTTCCCCGTTGGGTTGGCAATGCAGACAAGCCCCAGAGTCTTGAGATACTGTACTGCCCTGAACATTCCTGCTCAGTTCTTTCTCTGCTTTTCCCACCAACAAAATCTGTGGCAATCTATTTGCTTCATACAATAAAGCAATGCCATAAGGAAGCACGGGGCATGCTCCCTACACACTGGTCTATTCCCTGTGTGTACAACAGAGGGTTTTCCTCCCACTCTGCTTTCTCAGCATCCAAACCAGAGGCTTTGCTGATGAGGCTTCTGGCCGCTTCTCGCCAACATATTTTCAGTGCTAAAATTAGCAATATTGATAATAAATAGTAGGTCATTAAGAATACCACAGCTAATGCCTCTACTCTTGCTAATTTTGATGAACACACTCAAATATATTTATTGGGCGTGCTTACTTCAGTAATTGGAGAACCATTACAGGGAACATTAAACCATTTTCTCTATCAAGACAACTGTAAGAAAGTTTAATGCTTTTTCCGAGGTAAATCTCCAATGAATACTTTGTAGAAATCACTACCTTTAGTCAAACTCACAGTAAGCTACCAAAAGCCAACCCAAGTTTTGTTCATCTTTCTAAATTAGCATATATGACATGTTCATATGGAAGTTATGATGAGATAGGAGACAATGAACAATGAATATCCAATAATGGATATACATAATACATATAACAATGGGAACAGTTATTTGTGCCTTCCACGGAATCCTCCACTGTCATGCTGGTATGAGAATATCCCCTCTTCCTCAAAGGACATAATAAAATTAAGGAACATTCTGGTAGAGGAATCTGCACAGATCCAATTTTTCAGTGGGATTTCATAACTTGTAAGAAGTGATCTGACGCTGTTTTTTGATAAAGAATAAGAAAGAATTCATTCTAATATACTCTCCGGAGTCCTTTAGGGAAAAGACCTCACTTTGATAGTTCAAGAATTCCCTCTGTGATGGAGCAAGTGTTCCTGGCAGCAAACAGGCATTAGCTCTCAGGGGATGCTCTTATTATAATTTGAGGAAACATGCTCTCAGCAAATGAATGCACAGCAAAGGAGTTGAAGGATGATTTAACCAAGCACCCAGCACTCCATCAGCAGACGGCTGAATGCTTGCAGCAGAGGCAGTATGAAGCCAGTGGAGGAACAAAGAGAAGTTTCAAAATGTGAGTTTAATAAATTTATATTGTCTATAAAATAGAGATAAAATGTAAAATGGTATTTGCATCAGATTCTGGGTGTCCTGACAGTCTAAAGAAAATATGAAGTTTTACAAAGGCAAGAATAAATAAGGTGATTTTATAAATGTCTAATTTTTCTTTCTGAAATTGCACAATACAACACAACTATATCATCAGAGGTACTAGGATGAGACGTTCCTTCATTATATTATAACATTCACTAGATCGCACAATATTGCATTATAATGTGTCTATTTCCATTTCAGACCAAAAAGTACAACTCATTAAAGAGTAAGGATAAACTATAACATGATCGCATCTAAAATCTGTTGCTCAAATTTGGAAAGAGAACTCACTTTCCATTCCTTCTAAGAAAATTTAAAATTATATATATTTTGCTAAGGTTGAAAGAAAAACTAAGGTAAATCTTGCATCAAGAAATATAATACTCCTATTAAAATCATGCTGTACTTCAACCACTTTGAGCCTTTCAACAAACAGCAAATGGGGCAACATCCTGCCATCCTCATTAGAGCATGCAGGAGAGGCAGGTAAGGCCTTGTGATTGTTTTCTTGAGTACAGATGATTATACCTTTCAAGGAGAGTCGTACTCTAAGCTGCAGCAAGGATTCCACTGTGCTTTGAGAGCTCAGAAATAAAATTCCTCTTTTCAAACAAAATCAGGTTAGCCCTGATGTGCACCTTTGAGTGTATCTGCGATAATAAAGGTAGGCTGGTGTAGAGCAAAGCAGATGGGTTAGGAGAGTGAGCGTAAGCATCTGTTACATTCTGATAAGGCGATTTTCTTATGGCCCTACTTGTAGTCGTGCATCAATGAGAACCTCAGAGGCTACAGAGAACCTGAACCCTCATCAAGATTTGCAGATTTGAAAAGATTTAATCTTGTATCCAGTGGGATGTGGGGCCATAAGGAGCAGGTTGGGGAGATGTGGAGCTGACTCCCAAATGCAACCTCTGCCCTGTTCTGAACAGCCAATGTACCAAATGTTTGGAAATGGCCCCGCTCCTGCAAAGAGCTTGTGTGACCTTCACTGTGATTTATTTCTCAAGAGGCAAGTCCAACGCAAAAGCAAATGCAATGTGGGGAATGACAAAGCCAGCTTGCCAATCCAAAGGGGAGATGCCCTGAATAGAAGGGAGGGCAGGGGCTAGAGAAACAGTACAGCAGGAAGGATGCTTGCCCTGCATGCCACAGACCTCAGCACCATCGCTCGCACTGCATAGGGTCCCCCAAGCCTGCCAGAGTGAATCTGTACACAGAGGAGTGAGCCCTGAGCAGGGTGAGGGGGAGAGAGGCAGGGATGAAGAGAGAGAGAGAGAGAGAGAGAGAGAGAGAGAGAGAGAGAGAGAGAGAGAGAGAGAGAGAGAGAAGCAGAGGGCAGACTATGGGAACTCCTCAAATCAGCTATGGTGGACAAGGTGATCTTTAGAGAAATTTAAACACTGCAGAATTCTTTACCTCCATCTTTTCTGTCATTGTAGTGATTACAACCCTTTGTGCTTCCATTTATTCCAATTTTTTTCCATTTATGGTACCCTGTTCACAACTGACAATTAAAAATGCTATTCACAAGGGATCCTAAAACAGGACCATCTCTGCTTCCATTAGTACTATGTATATGAGAAGCATTTCGGCACTGTGACCCTTATTGGAAGGCCATAGAAATGCCACCTTTTACCTGCCTACTCAAATGGCAAAAATATAGGGTAACCTATCTACATGGTATCAAAGATATTGATCTGACTTTGAGAAGGTCAAATTAACCTTCAAGATAAATTTTCCAGAAGAGAATTCCTTAATTAAAAGTGAAATCACCTACAAAGAAAAACTCTTTGTGCTTAAACACCTAGATTTGCAGTGTGAAAGCCAGAAGCCTGGACAATTCCACCCGTTCCTGCAAACAGCTCTCACTGCAGGCTTCAGGGCTGCTGCGCTGCTCTCGTGCTGGAGATGCTGGCGGTGCTCTGACTCCACCTTACCAGCAAACTGCTGCTCAGAAGGGTCCCCGCAACTCAGCACCACTGATGGAAGCATCTCCTGAGCACCAGGAGCGACCCTGCCTGCTTCCTGTTTCCTCGCAGTTCTCAGTAAGCATCACATGTTACTATGCATTAGTTCTTTTAACTCACAATGTAGAGGAGAAAGAGAGAGCCCAAGATTAAAGCAAAGTCAAAGATCTATACTGAAGCATGTGGTGGGGGCGGGTAGGGGCGGTGGTGAGGCACACCCGGTGGAGCTGTGGTGCTCAGGGCTCACTCCTGGCTCTGCGCTCAATGATGACTTCTAGTCCATTCAGGATCAAACCCAGGCTGGCTGCATGCAGGGCAAATACCCTACCTGCTGTACTATTGCTCTGGCCCCTGAAGCTCGGATTCTTAAAGCAACTTCATCTTTAATCCTGTAGCTTATTGTCATACAGAAACATCGACGTCTCTCATGGGCTTAATGTGGTCCAGCGAGGTCTCTGGTTATGAGACTTTGTTCCCACTGGGATCCCTAAGCCTTCTCCACAGTGACCACATTGATGCAGATCAAGGTCCAGGAAGACAGCACAGAGGCCAAGGAGGCTGATTCTAGTTCCAGCACCACATGCTCTCCTAAAGTCTCTGAGACAGGAGGGGTTTGGGGGGCTCTGACTGCACCTTGAGAGTAACTCACACAAAATTAAAAAAATATATAAATTACACTAAGATTTGGTCACAATTCTTCTTTCTATATACTTTTGAAAAAGAAGTGATGTAGAAACTAAATTTCAGACTCCAGAGAGCCTAGAATGAGCAACAAAATAGTTGGCAATGCATAACTTTTCCAAATCACAAACCCAAATCAATTTACCAAGTTGCTGATGGCTGTCTGCATCGTGAATAATGAAGTGTCCTGAGGCTGAAAGTTGGGAAGGAAATAGAAGATTACAAATTTTAAAGGTTTCAGTTAATTTGCTATTTAAAAAAAAATCCCCAGAAACCCACAAATATAAATTAGGGTCCATCAGCTTTGTCAGAAAATACATAAAATACTTTTTTAATATTTTCTTTAAAGTCAAAAAATTTAAAAGTAATGGGGCGGGGGCTGTGGTGTGGGTCATACCTGGCTGTACTGGGGGCTTACCCTTTGCCCTGTGCTCAGGGATCACTCCTGGGAGCTCAGGGGGTTCTGCTGTGCTGTGTGAAGTCAAATCCTCGTTGGCTAAATGCAAGGTAGGAATCTTACCTGCTGCACTCTCTCTGACTTCAAACGTACTTTTTTATAGTAGCTTTTAACAATAATCTGGGAACACTAGTGGAAGGAAGTGACACTGATGGAGGGGCTGGTGTTGAATTATTGTAGAATAGCCTAGAATGCAGCTATCAGTAAGTTTGGAAATCATGGCTCTTTAATTAAAAAAAAGAAAAGGAAAATGTGTAAATCTGAGTCAGTGGACTATAATAGGGATAAATATCAGGAAATAAAGGCCAGTGTCTTGGGAGGAAATTCTAAACAATAACGGTGCATCTTTTGTCAAAATAATGAATGTGATCAAAGTAGAGAGAGGGTTAAGTAGAAACCATCTGCCTCACAGGCATTGGGCGGGGTGGGAGGGGGGTTCTTGGTGGTGAAAAATGAGTACTGGTGAAGGGAAAGATGTTTGATCATTGTATGACCTAGAGTTAAACCTGAAAGCTTTGTAACTTTTCCCACAGTGATTCAATAAATAAATATAAGAAAAGAAAAAAAAATAAAGGTCAGGGTCCTCAGGGACATCTTGGGTGAGCAACTTCTGACACAGTGCATCAGAATTAAGTGACTCTATGCTACAAATGTAAAATTTCAAGTATTATATCTGATCTCACCCTATCACCCAAGGGTCATTGCGATGGGGGAATTATGAGTCATAGCTTCAAACTTTTATATGTTCAATGATCTTTAAAATGTAATCAAGCAGAAAAAAATTGGAGGGAATAGTGATCTTTCAGAGAATATGTGTTTCATTATATTGGGAGCTAGAACTGGAACTTATCAATCAAGATCAGAGCAATCTTTTCTGAGTGACCTAAGAAGTTCAAGAAAATAACTTGACTACCGAATCTGACATCAGAAAATCCCAACAGAAAAAATAAGTTAGTGATGTTTGGTAAAGAAAAGGGATTTAACTCTGGCAATTAATTGTTACCTTAAGAATCCAAACCTGCAAACAGTACAGAAACTTTTTTTTTTTTTGTCTTCAGCCCCAGTAGTGCTAAGACTGTTCCATGGTGCCTGGGGAACATATGGTGCCAGAGAATCAAATCTGGGACCTCTGCATACCACACATGCACTCCAACTGGTTGGAGATTGTAGATACTCTTAAAAAAGTGAGTTTTTAAAAGTCAAAATCTCATAATAATATGAATCATCAAACTAATGATAAAAGCAACAAAATTTTGGAACTGAGAAATATAAATGAACATTAATTTGGTGGGTCAAAAAAAATCTGTGTCTGTGGTGATATAAGAAATGCCAAGAAGCAATTCATTTTAAACTCAGCAGTCCCAATGTGTTTAGAATTAGAAATATGGGGGTCATAGACAGTAGAAGTTATGGTGCCAATAAAGAGAAGAGAACTGGGGTCTGGAGGGCAACATGGCAGGAAAGGTGACTGCCTTATGTGCGGCTAACTTGGGTTCCATCTCCAGCACCATGAATGGTCCTCTAAGCTCTACCAGAAGTGGTCCCTCAGCACAGACAGATGTGGAGAAAGAAAAGACAGAAAGAACAAGAAACCAGTTATTCATGCTATTTTCATCTCTCTGAAAAGTGATATAATGCCACCCCCCAGAACAGGGCTTGAGATGATTTCCACAAAGGGCAAACAGCACACCTTCAGACAAGAGTTAAGGTGGAAGGCAGAGGCATGTTAGGAAAATAGCAGAATTAGGTTACAATTTTCATAAAAATGACTGGGAACGTGAATCTCTCTCCTTCAACTCTCAGATGCACAAATTCTTCCCTGTTCAGAGAGGCTGTCTTTATCATCCGGCAACCCCCCCAGACAAGAGACGGGAAATCTGACTTCAAGAAAATGAGATGCTGAATATCTGATGTCAGGTGATGTCAGCAGCTCTTGACAGGAAGGATGAACTGGTAAATCCCAGAACAATGGCTACTGCCAAAGAGGTGTACTTATTTGAGCAACTTCTTTGTCACTGATTTCTTCCGTGCCTTACTTTTATGTATGAATATAAGCTTCACATGCAGGGCATGCTCTCCAGCTTATCATATATTTGAGAAAACTCTCAAGGAAGAAGAGACCAAAGAGTTAAAAAGCAAGTGGAAAAACAAAGATCTAAGTAGAAGAAACCCCTCAAAAATATTAGTATTTATATTATTATAGATATAATGGATGATGTAGTCATGACATAACAAGAGAATGCTATTGAAAAACCAGTATTCACACACAGACATTGGAAATTAGAAAATAAAGTGAACAATCATTTTGAGGAGTTGGATGAGTAAGAAAGAAAATGACAAACTATGTTGAACATTGCCTTCAAAACTTTAAGGAAAAAATTATAACTTTAAATGTGACATACAAGCTAACAGTTCATAATGTGTAAGGAAAAAGAGACAATTTCAGGTGTGCAGACGTTTTACGCCACTTTTCTCTGGAAATTTCAGAATGGTGTGTGTTACTTTTAGATAGGCTGTGTCTTAATAGAGGAATTAAGCCACAAATAAGCAATTTTGTGTGAAGAAAGAAGTGTGCAGAAAGAGGCTGTAAGCAATCCCTGGGATCCATTTAAGAGGCCTTGGAGACAGTGGTCCAGCAGGGACTCGCCCTGGAGTTGCCAGCTGAGACAAGGGCCATCTGAAAGCAGAAACAGGCTAGTTCTTCAAGAAGAGGAAACCAGATATTTAATGTGTCCCCACAAAATGAGAGGACACTGGCTGGTGGTGATAATGTTGTCTGGCTTAGCCTCTATGAAAACAGCATGTAGAATTTTATAAAAAGTAAGAACAGGGGCTGGAGCAATAGCACAGCGGGTAGGGCGTTTGCCTTGTACGCAGCCAACATGGCTGACACAGGTTCGATTCCCAGCATCCCATATGGTCCCCCGAGCACCGCCAGGAGCAATTCCTGAGTGCATGAGCCAGGAGTAACCCCTGAGCATCGCCGGGTGTGACCCAAAAAGCAAAAAAAAAGAAAAAAAAGTAAGAACAGAACTTCCATATAACCCTGTGATTCCACTTTTTGGCATCTATCCCCAACACAAAAAGATTAATTTTAAATTATATATTCACACTGACTGTAGTGCTTGTTACAATAGTCAGGGCATGGAAACAAAATAAATGTCCAGCATTAGATGTATGAAAACAGAAGTTGTGGTATATATTCACAATGGAATACTATGCAGCTTTAAGGAAAGACAAAACTACTCAGTGTGTTGGGTATGGGAGGGCATCATGCTAATTGAAGGACAAATACTGCATAACCTCACTCATCTGAGCAAAACACACAGACCAAACAAGGACACAGGCGATAGTGAACAGACCAAACAAGGACACAGGCAATAGTGAACAAAGACAAATCTTGGTCTTGGATCACAAATAGATTATGAAGCAGTGAAAGAGGGGACGAAGAGGCCGACTAGACGTGACATAGGAACAATGGTGGAGAGTCTCAGCACTCTGGGAGTGACGGGTGCAGCAACCAGATACATCAAGAACAAAAATGTTAACAGTATTATAACTATGTTATCAACTACATATACAACTACACACACACACACACACACACACACACACACACACACACACTCCATGGTCTGGAGCTGAACTGATAAGTCCTAGAAAACCAAGCAAAATAACCAACAAGCAAATAAGACCCACAGTGAACTCTGCAGGGGAAAGGTTGGCATAAGGGGGATGTAACTTAATGACAACCACCTGCAGCGTTTACATCAATGTTAGTTTATTGCAGTCTGGCTGGCTTGCTGGATGAGAGGAATCCTGCTGGCAGCAGGACAGGAGAGAGGCTGGAGTGCTGTAAAGTCTTCATTTTCCAGAGATCAATTAACCAATAATACTTGAGAAATCATGATAAGAAAGTTATGCACACAGATAAGGTGATACCACAGACTTTGCTAAAGAGGTAAAGGTATTCACCTCTAAGAAACAAAAAAAATGGCTGTTTGAAGTTTTAAAATTAAAAATAGCTGGAGAGACAGTACAATGGGTAAGGCAATGGCCTTGTATGTGGCTGATGCAGGTCAATCTCTGGCACCGCATAAGGTACCCTGACTGATTCCAGGATTGACCCCTGGCACAGAGATAGGAGTAAGCCCTGAGCTCCTCTGGATGTGTGCCAAAAACCAACATATAAAAAGATATATTGTAAATCATGGTGACAAAAGAAAAAGAAAAAAATCATTTGACCTGGCAGTTGCAAAAAAAGTGTAAGACATTATAGAAATCTTCATAAATTCAAAAGTCTGTAAACAGAAAAGGTGTCCTGTTTTTCCTTTCTGTATGTATCTGTATGTGGGTGTTTCCTTTTGTTTTCGTGCTGTGTCAGGGAACAAACCCAGTCCCTCACATACACACAGAGTGAGCAGCCTACAGGGTGTTCCGCTTTTTATAGACACTACGGGGAAAAGCTGTCAAAATTTTACACAGAGCAACTCTAAACGCTAAAATCAAGACATTATCCATGTTTAATATTCTTAAACAAAGCATTTACCAAGATACATCTCTGTGTGAGGTGCTCCTGAATCCCAGTCTGTTAGTCTGAGGCTGTCTAATGTGTTCATCTGTTGTAACATAGGCAGTAAGCAGGGCACCACCCTGGACGCCCCACGTGCTCTCAAGGAAACAATTGTATTATCTGCACTACTGAACATTTTCCCTAAAGCTTCTGATGCTGCGATCACTTTCTGAAAAAGTGATGTTCTATGTAATAGGGCACCAATGAATCTGTAACAGTTTACTCTTAAAAATATTGTAGAATTTTTTTTGACCAGAGAGAGTACAGAAGGCAATGTACTTGCCTTGTATGTAGCTAACCTGGTTTAGATCCCAGCATCCCGTATAGTCCTCAGAACACCACAAGGAGTAATTCCTGAATGCAGAGCCAGGAGCAATCACCAGGTGTGACTACTCAAAGAAAAAAAAAACACACCAAAAATCCCAAAAAACTTCTCAAATAAAACAAAACAAAAAACATCCAAACAAAAATCTTGTAGATTTTCTACAGACTCATATCATTAGTTTGATATGAGTCCTGGGTCCTCTTTCCCAATAGTTAAATCTAGTGTAGTTCTCAGGTCAAGACAGGCTATCTTTTCTAGCAGAGAAATCAGCGGAATTCTATAGTTTAGCTAATAAAATTAGCGACTTTTTATTACAGTTATGGGATACTGAGTAAGTATTGGGGCTGTGGTTCTGCATGCATATCTCTTTTCATCTTCACAGCATCTCTAAAATGTCCATATTGCTACTGTTTCCATTATTGGATTTCTAAGTAGTGGCATAAAATTTTACTCTGACAAGTTTGATCACTTTGCTATATTAGAGAAATATATAAATAGAGATTCACATATTAAAATTTTTTTCATCCTCCTCAACACATAGGTTTTGCAATCAAATCAATGCTTACCTGGGTAAATCCATTAAATGAACCACCAGAAGCCTAAATAAATGAAAATCAGGGAATGTTATATTTTCCATCTCTTTGTAGGATCAATACATATTTATCAGACAAGTGGAAAGTAAAGACACTACAAATTTTAAAATATAAAAGGTAATAACTTAGAAGTACTTAGGAAATACAAAAAGCCATACTGTATTTTAAATAGGTTGACAAAAGAAGCAATTATATTTACAATTACTGCTGGTGTGGTTTAGTGCTAGCCAAAACTCACATTCTTAGTAGTGAGAAAATGATTCCTGATAGGAACCATGAGGGTTCAAGAAGTTACCTTTCCGGGCCATTAAGATATTGTTAAAATATGAATAACTTTGTAAATAAAGGTGCCTCAATAAAAAATATTTTAAAAAAAGATAATGCTAAAGTAGTATTTGTACCATTCCTCTAATCATATTGACGAAAAAATTTGATACTATTGCTTCTACTGGAGAGCGTAAAAACCATTTGATGTTTCCTTATTGGACGGGAATAAATTAGGAACAATAAATCAATGTGTTCTACCTAGTTTTAGTGCAATAATAAAAATAAAGGTAGGAAGAATAAGTACAGTAACGAGAACACAAACTGATTCTCAGCATAATCTTTCTGTATTGTGGACATGTCTGTGCTTTTGTCAACCTATTTGCATTTGATGTGCACAGATCTGAAAAGGAACATGGCAATCTGTTGAGGAGATGAGGCAGGCGTTGAGAAGAAAGAGTTGGACAATGTAGTGGAGGAAGACATGAGGAGAGACAGAACCTACAAAAGTCTTGGCTAGTCTACTCTACAGACTGGGGTAAGTACCTCTTCTTTATCAGCCTCTAGTTCTTGGTACAACAATCCATATCTCTGGTTAGCAATTTCATCTTCAGATAAATCTGAGTTGCTGACTTCATTGTCTTGGGGACTAGTGGGACTCTCCGTGCTGGCATCCTGGGAAGCTCCCAGGGCCAACGACAAAGTCATTGCCTGGCTCTGCTCCCAGCCACTAGCAGTTGCTTGTTTCCCACATACGTTTACTAGTAAATCAACCACCAACCCTTTCTTAGCTTCAACTAAATTTAAATTTTCCAAGCAATTATTTAGGGCTTTCATATGCCCAATAGACCAATGGTTATCAGAATCAAGCCAACTGGCAAATCTACTTGGTTGTCCATCTGGTATACCAGAAAATTCTGACAACTGAATATTATTCATTTCTGAATCCAAGCTTGGCTGCCAAATTTGACCTGTATCTGTTCCCCAAGATTCTGTTTTTGTAACTCTTGACAAATCAGTGGTATGACTAGAGTTCCCAGTCACTGCAATTTCAGACTCCTCAATTAATGAATGCCCTGCCTTATGTAACCAATCTTCACTGTTTGTATTAGTTCCCAGGAAATAATTAAGGCCTGTCTTAGACTGAGCTATCACTTCATGTTTTATTGATAAAACAAGAGACTGATTCTTATTCCAGTTACCTCTAGAATCATGTAACACAATCTCAGACTGAGTTTCATCAGCATCTGCACTTCCTAGTTCTGAGTGATAGATTATATTCTGATTAGGAACATCTATCAATTGCTGTATGTCTTTTCTTGCTAAATCCCATGCCTCTAGACTAGCATCGTCAAGATTGGATGCAGAGTCAAAATAGAGAGGCAGATTCAAATTGTCTGTATGATTGGCAGATTCAGCTCCAGAACTTTCTACAATATCACAATTATTTATTACAACTTGAATCCCATCTTCAAGCCCCCCATTTCTGTGATTAAATTTATCTGCCAAATCTACTCTTTGTTTTTTTTTCTCTAGTACGTCAGTTTTCTCAAAATATTTTTCATTGGTACTTATGCTTTCTCTACATCTTTCTCTCAGATATTCCCTAGCTTTCTCTTCATTGATTTTTAAGGCATCACAGTCTTGATTTTCTATTTTTGTATGATCTAATGCCTGGTTTCCTGAACTTGCACATACTTTCTCTTCAAATTCTTCTCTACCTTCTAATGTTCTGCTACTAATAGCTCCAGTGTCTACCTTTTCACATGCCTTCACACTCGTGAACACAGAATCTTCTTTCCTTTGCTGCTCTTCTTCTTCTGGCTTTCTGACCTCTTCTCGACCTTCTTCAACCAAGCCACCAGTTTCCATGGCTGGCATCTTGGAGACAGGGAAATCATAAGTCTCATCCATCTCCGCACAAGCAGCAGTGGCAGATTCAATCTCAGGAATAGGCTCCAGGGATAGCTCTTCGTTTCCACATGGGAGAGCTGACCCTAGAACAGGCTTACTGTGCCCACCTAGGGTGTGCCAGTTCACAGAAGGAAGCATTTGAGCACAAACTTCAGTGTTATTTTCTGGCTCAGAGAGACATACAGAGTCTTCCTGGGATCCACCAAGGGTAATTTCCTGGCTGACACTGCCTGTACTAGCATCAGGACCCCAAATAAATGCACCTAGCTCAATCTGAGAGCTTTGAATTTCTTCAGTCAACCCATTGTCAGGAGTTTCCTCCATGATCAGGTTACAGAGGGAAAGACTTTTTGAAGCATCAGTCTTTAGAATATGCAGAAAAGCAAAAGAAAAAAAAATAATGTAAGATGAAACAGATCATGATAAGATTTGATGAAAAACACAAAGCTATTTGGTAGTGCAGCACCAGTTACACAAAACTAGGAGTTTTTAAATTGAACAGCCTGAAGTCAAGTTTTTGACTAGCAATGACATGAGATAACAAAGCTCATTTTAGATAAAATGTCATATATGTAATACATATTAATTATTTAAACCAGAAATATCTGGTTTAAATTTCGTACTTACTGGCTGTACCAAATCAGTGCTTGTCTGCATGGACAAAAACAGAAAAACAACACACACACACAGTAAGAAAGTTCAAGTAATAATGATGTAACAGAAGAAAACTGATTAGTATGTTAAAATCCTCTGCTGTCCAAAGTCAACATTCGCTGAAGGCTGCGGCTTTTACTAGTTTGATATTAGATTTTACAACTTGTATTCATGATGAGTCAGTTTTGTTTAGGTATTGTTTGAGACGACACAGTTTCAATACAAAGAAACCTGCCCTTTTCTAGGCTTGTGAATATTATATGACTTATGTTTTGCAGGCTTTGAAATCCAAAGCTTCATTAAATAAGAAAATCTGAGTAAATCAGAGTAAGATTGAACACCAGCATCCCCACAATTATAAAATATCATATGCTCTGTTATACTATGGATCTATGGAAGTAAAATCCCTATGAAACTCTTCTTGCACTTGATTATGCCTTGGAGGTCATTTTTGGTGAAGGATGACTTGATATAACAAATCAAATTGCCTGGAGGATATTTCTCAGATTCTTCGCTTTTCCTGGAAATTTTGTCTGCACACAAAGAAAACAGCCAGAGGTGCTGAGAGAATCAATAAATTTGAGCAATTATGTCCAAGTTTTGAAGTATTATCATTATTACCATTCTTAGTAGTAATGTCCTCTAAAGTAGTCAACATTTGAAACAAAATTGCTTCACTATTCTCTTGAGAATATACCATGATACTCTAAAGATCTTAAGTAGGATCCCTGTGGAAGAGAAGGGAAAGTTACCTTTCAATTTTTATTTGCTTTTTGTTTGCTTGTTTTATTTTAGGGCCACACCTGGAGATGCTCAGGTGTCACTCCTTGTTGGGCTCAGGGGTCCATATGGGGTGCTAGGAATTGAACCCCCCAGTGGCAGCAAGGAAAGCAAGTGCTCTACCCCCTGAGTGCTGGGAGGCAAGGGGCCAGGGATCTTGTTAGTTTCCACTCTACTTCCTTAGGATTGCTTCAGAAGAACAGGTAAATGAAAATAGTTAGAACTAACAAATTTTCCTGTTTCTGGCTCTTCTAAGTCCATCTCAGAGCAGATGTTACTGCGACAAAGCTCTCTGTGTCTGTTTCTCAGGATAATTGTAGTGACACTCATCCCCGCACATCAGGTGAACTCAATCCACAATATCAACCATAATTTACTGATACATAACTACCATTTTATTGATACACCAAAGGTCTTGGGATATACTGCACTTTACTCACACAACCCTCTGAGACAGCTGTTATCACCCTTACTTCACAGATGAGGAAAAATTGAGGCTTAGAAAGTTGTATAAGGGGCTGGAGCAATAGTACACCGGGTAGGGCGTTTGCCTTGCATGCGGCCAACCCGGGTTCGATTCCCAGCATCCCATATGGTCCCCCGAGCACTGCCAGGAGAAATTTCTGAGTACATGAGCCAGGAGTAATCCATGAGCATCGCCAGGTGTGACCCCCCCAAAAAAAAAGAAAAAAAGAAAAAAAGAAAGAAAGAAAGCTTTATAAGTGGCTCCAAGTCATATTTGTTATAAATTGGAGAAGACAGAATAAAATAAGGTTATCTGGTTCTAAGGCTCAAATTCTTACTGAGAAAATTTCATTGACTATGAATAATGAAAAAAGTTTCCTGTGCAGAGAAAGTTGCTGGACTTTGTATTGCTCCAACCACACTTCTATATTAGGTTTCTGAGCAATGGTAAATGTGCATGTGCTTCACTCCAGCATCTACCTCCACCCATGGTGACCATAGGAAGAAACATAAAAGGTCACAATCCTGCCATTCAAGAGCTCAACACACGGACATATCTTTCCTTGCCATTGCTTCTAGGTACTGGATTGTTAGGGAGGGGCTGACAACCAGTTACTGGAAACCCATTACCATAATATATATGCAAATATATATTGCACATGGAATATAAAAAAAGGCTTCTAGAATTTTTCAGAACCCAGATACGGCAAAACACAGAGATCTCAGCTCTTACCGTCCATAGGTCCCAGGGCAGTGTCTGAAAGCAAAGAGAGAAAAGTGCATCAGTATGCAAATCCCATGCACATCCAGCAGCTGAGGTGATGCAAGTTCTTGAAAGAAGATCATAAATATTTTTGAATCATTGAATTCCGCACAGTTTCTCTGGTGCTAAGAATGTCTCACATCTATGAGGTTCAGTGATAGTCACTAACTACTGATGGCAACTCAGCACTTCAAGTGTGCCAGTAATAATTTTCTTTTTACCTAATTTTATTGGGAGAAGGTAAATAGCCACATTGATTCCCTGATGACTTATGATAGAGGTTATCATGTATTTTAAAAGACAGTTGTAGTCAACCTGCCATTTGCTATGAGTAAAGGAATGGGTTTAGTTTCGTAAGCACACATAATTAAAATACAGTATGCTGAGAGAAGAAGAGCATGATGACTGCTTATGCTATTTCTCTCCTTCCCATCAAAACCATGATGATGTAATAATGACCAAGCAACATCTCCATGTGTTGAATCAGAGGATAACAAAGTCCGATTAACTGGCAGTTAAACAAACCTGTAGGATGTCCCTAAGATATACTGACGAATCACACCAGTAGTAATACTGGTAATTTAATTATAAGGCTTTTTGATTTTGGAGAGTGAACTAAGAGGATTCAAATAATTTCTACTGTGTGTACAGAAAGTGAGAAACATCTGCCTTTCTGATTTCCTGTGTGACTTGGGATTACTGCATAAGTCACACTGTTTCTGGCATACATCTTTGTTCATGTCTAGAATGGATCCATTTGTATGGAATCATTCTGAATTGCTACATGCAAATAGCAAATGAGAGCCTGGACTGCAGTTTCATGAGTATGATAGCTTGCAGGTGGTATGATAGATGCCTTGTTTGGACTCTGTACTGTAAACTGTGGGCGTTGCGGCTGGGGAGACAGTGCAAGGCTTAAGGTGCTTGCGCTTGCCCATGGCCAACCTCCAGTTCCAATCCCAGTACTACATATGGTCCCCAGAGCACCACAAGCAGTGATTCCTGAGCACTATCAGGAGTAGACCCCAAGTACTGCTGGGTATGACCAGAAACCGAACTAAACCAAAGCAAAACAACAGATCAAAACAAACAAAACGTAAGAGATCAAAACATGGGCTTGTGGTTTGGAGGGAATGATTCATTTGGCAGGCGGCAGACCTGTTTTCGGGGTGCACTGACCCAGGGTCCTACATCTCTGCTGCCTTGTGACCCCTTAACTGGCGCTTACTTGGGGAACGTTCTCTTCCAGGAGCTGGGTTTTATAGTCTCTGAGTCTTGGCCGTGGATGGGATTACACGGCGCCAGGGGGCCAATTGGTGGGTGTGACCCCCGCCTACTGGAATTTGGAGGATCTGGGTGGAGGATGCTCAGCCCCGATCCGAGTAGACTTGGAGATCTCAGCCCGGGACCCACGTGCCTTTGTTCCCCTGCCTACCTTTGTTCCCTGCCAACAACGCAGAGTCTCCTGGCCCCGCGCCTGGCTGTCCTCACCGGGGCCCCTTGGAGGGGAGCGGGTTGAGTTTTCCTCCCCGCCCCAATCAGGGCTCCGGCAGCCGAAGACCTCCAGAATCAGCCACCACCATGCTGAGACCACTCTCCGCACACATGAAGGTACCGGCAGGGGAACAAAGGCACGCGGGTCCCGGGGCTGAGATCTCCAAGCCTACTCGGATCAGGGCTGAGCATCCTCCACCCAGATCCTCCAAATTCTAGTAGGCGGGGGTCACACCCCCCAACTGGCTCCCGGCGCGGCACCGTGTAATCCCATCAATGGCCAAGACTCAGAGACTATAAAACCCAGCTCCCAGAAGCACGTGGCCGCATTTGCGGCTGTGCGACATCTTATCATCTCATTCCTACTTTGGACAAACTGGCAAGCTACCGAATGTAACCTGCCCACACGGCAGAGTCTGGCAAACTCCCCATGGCGTACCCAATATGCCAAATACCAGTAACAATGAAGGGTCTTATTCTCCTAACTCTGAAAGAGCCTTGAATATGGCACTTTTTTTAAAAAATCTCAGGGCTAGGATGAAGGAAACGTTACTGGGGCCTGCTCGAGGCAATCGACTTGGGGAATGACAGAGAAAGGAGAACAGCACTACACCGAAAACCGCTGCTTTCTGGACCTGGAATCCTTCCACATTTAATACACAAGTGCTGCATATTCCGATTTTTTTATACTGCTTTTGCTTCAACTCCCTTGAGACTCAAGATGTCTGAAAGTTACTACAGGTTTTGTTTGTCGTTCTTTTTTTTCAGATATATATTCGTGCCTAATATAGAACACAAAATGGGGGCTAGATCAACACTACAGCGGGTAGGGTGCTTGCCTTGCATGCAGCAGACCAAGGCTCGATCCCTGGCACCCCATATGAATCCCAAACACTGCCGGGAGTGATTCCTGAGCATGGAGTCAGAAGTAATCCATGAGCACCTCTGGGTGTGGCCTCCAAACACAAATAATAAATCAGATAAAACATCATATTTAGCAATCCTCAGGATGTTAGCTTGAGCTCAGAGATCACACGCTGAGTCATTCTGCCTATCATGAACATCACTGTGAACACAGGGTAAGATGGCATGAAAGGGAGAGCATAAAGAGGAAGGAGTAAGCCATCAGATCTGAATGCGGGGGTCTCAGTTATCTCAGACTTTCCCATGGCAGCAGAGCTTTGGTGGGGCTGGGGAGCAAATGTGCTCCACAGTGGCGGCTCTGTGGAAGCCCAGGCAGTTTATTAGCTGCACCCAAGGGAAGAAGATGTGCATCAGGGACTCTCTCAAATACAGGAATGCATTTCCTTCCAAACAAAGGTATTTGAAGAAGAAACCGAGTCTATCCTTCGAAAATTCTGAACTTTTAGTCCTAAATCCACACAAAGGTCCATTATTTACCAATTACTCAAAAAGTGTTATAAAAGAGGTTTCTTGACTCAAACTTGTAGATATAAATACTGTGGAATCTTACCCAGTAATAGCGCACAGTGTCCACTATGGAAGTGTCCTGTGCTGCTACAGTAACGCAGGTTAGAGTATATCAGAAGGAACCTCACAGATCCCGCTGACATCCAGACAGTGAGAAACCTCTGAGAGCAGAGTGATCTGAATCACAGAATCATCACCTATCTCTGCTTTCCTTGGTCTCAAGGCAACACCCGCAAACTGGATGATGATTATGAATGTCTCTAAATCAGTTTTAGAGAATATTCCAGTGAGCATTAAAGTTTCATTTGAAGTTAACTTGAAAAACAAAGTTAGACAGATTTTTCTTTTGACTGTTAAAGTTCCGATGTCTCTGAGACTCTAATGCACACAGTAATTCTCCAGTGAGATTTAGAAGAAGCAACTTCCTGAGACATTAACCCAAGACACCTGTTTTTTGGTGGCTTTATTTTGTTTTGTTTTATTTTGTTTTTTTTTTTTTTTTTGCAAAGAAACTTCAAGGCTAGTTTTTGGTCGATGCAATTCCCTGACTGATAGACATCTAGAAATTTTTACTGAATTTATTAATAACAGGGAAGCCTTTAGAAATACTGACTCATACAGAACAAAGCATGACTTAAACAGGAGCTTTACTTATTGAGAATGATATTGTGCTGTCTCTCCTAGTGGTTCCTGTTAAACTTCAGACTGGGAAATCAGGATCGGTTTCATTTTGTACATTGTATGTTGGGTAACATTGCTCTGTACTTCAAGAAGCTTAGGTTTTATCTGGTTACACCCATTAATCTCGTTACACCCATCAACCTGGTTACATCCACCACAGTGCTCCAGAGGCACTTCCACTTCCATTGTGTTTACATGTAAACATGTAAACAGTCTTCCCTATGCTCTCCTTCCCACCCAGTTAATCAGCTTTCCCCTTAATCAGACTTTGTTAATTTGTAAGATCAGTTTCCCAGAAATCTATGATTTTATATGTATGAGTGAAATATTGCCTTTTTCCTCTCCTTATGCCTTATGAACAGTTTACTTTAAAGTAATATCCTTTTTGTATAGATACAGGAAGACCGTTAACATTATGCTTTGTAACTTAGGATTTGATTGGCCTTGAATATTATTCACTCCTGGGCATCTGCTTTCTCGACTTAAGCCTCAGTTGCCCTTAGTTCCTAATACCCCCAAAGCAGGGTCCCAACGAGGGACTGAATGGACCCAGGGCAAGCGGTGAGCTACCCTGGCAGCGAAATGGGCCAGGCCAAAGTGCCACGATTCTTAACTCTAAGTTAAGAGTTTGATCATAGACAAATGCTGTCATGATCCAAAGGTAACGACAAGACTAGGATCCTGCTAGGGGTGGGAAAGACTATCTGGCCTGAGCACCGTAGTCTGAGATCGAGATGGCCCTAGGAGAGCAATTCTATAAGTTTAAGATATTTCTTACTGTATCCATACAAAATGATTTATATTATATTCTTATATGCTTGTCGGACAAGGAGAGGAGAGGCACGCCCGTGGGATTATGCTCTAGGGCGGGTCCTCCTGCTGAGGAAGGATCTGTCCTAGGAGTGGTCTTCCCTGAGGCTAAGATTTCTACCCCTGTTGATCTCTACCCCTATTGATTGTGACCGCACCTATGTGTATTTGTTCCCCCAATTCCTCATGGAGAGAGGATTTAACTGTACTGTAGGAGTGGGCTGGGGGCAGAAGGAAGAAGAGAGTTCAGAGAGGATCAGAAGGAAGAGGAGGATAAAGGGGGATGGAGAAGGAGAATGAAGTAGCATGGGGGCAGAGACAGAAGGAGAGATGAGAAGAGAGTCAGAATAAACTACGACTAATACCTACCAGCCTGGCCCTCGTTCCTTCCTCTGCCTGACCATCGCCATCAACCTCTCCGGGGTGGGAGAAGGGTGAGACTACCGAACATGGGCGGCGGGAGAGATAGAGCCGCCGCCGTGTGGGTGCCGTGCCCCCTCTTGTGTGAGGTTACACAATTGTACATGATGAACCTTCATGTATCAAATCTGAACTATTTTCTAGCGTCTTTGGTCACGCCAAACTTCAAATGTGAAACCTTATCATGACCCAAAACAGATACAATTTCATTTCAGTCAAACCTCTGAATTAACTTTCTCCCATGAGCTTAGAAAATGGTCACCTGATTATATATAAGAAGAATCACCTGTAGGTTAGTAAAGCAGCCAGAGATGGCACCAGTACCCTGTAGAGGAGGACACCATTATGATACTGGAATGGGGAAATGCTGAGTGAGGAACGGAGGAGTTGAGATAAGCTTAGACAGGCAAGGTCAACCCTACGCCATCAGTGTGAACCATAACACAAATCAAATGAGGGATGTATCTGCAATATGAAGTATGAGGCCAGAAACATCTAGTGCGAAATACCGAAGGTCTAACACCACTGTTGTTTGGGTATAATGTTGTGGTCTTTTCAAATAGACCCTGATTTGCAAAGTACAGGAAACAGTAAAAGGGATTCACAGTAAAGGAATTTGATTTATCTAAAGCTAAAAGAAGAGCTTAATTTCATAAACAATAAAATACATCACCCAAACCTGGACATGTTTAGTACAAAAGTGGGCACTAAGAATAATTATTCTCAGACAGCTGATTGCTGGGCAAACAAGAATGTATGATTATCCACGCTGAATTTCTAGAGAGGCTTCACAGGAAAGTTTGGGGTAAATCACACTGATAAAGCCTTTATCCTAACCTTTCTTCCCTTTAGGAAATATTGTTGACCAAAATGAAAAAGAAGTAGTAATTTGAAGGGGGGGGGTGTCACAAAAATGCAAGTGTTACCTTATCCAGCTTATTAATTGTAATTACTCATGTATTAGTTAACATTAATCATCCCCATACACCAAAACAGTCGCTTGATACCTGAGACATAGGTGAGTGGGTCACTCCAGCAGAAGCCACAGGTGTGACCTCTGGTTTGAAAGGGTCAAAGTCCAGATCCAGCAAAGTTTCCTCTTTTTTTGTTTCAGGAACTTCATTCTGTTAACACGAAACAACACAGGTAACAGTTTAAGTTTCACAAGACTTCATGATATGAACCATGTGTAATTCTTATTCTTCTGGAGTACCAATGAGAATGCGATGAGAGGGAAAATGGACTAGCTCTGGACACTGGCCTAGAACAGTCTTGTTTGCGGCCATGTTCTGGGGAATGCCCTTCATTGAGTGCCAAGTCAAGGCGGTAAAGACAATGTCGGAGAGATGGGTCCTACCTACACCCATTTATTTATTTATTCTTGAATAAAATAGCACTGTAGCACTGTCCTCCCATTGTTCATAGATTTGCTTGAGCGGGCACCAGTACTGTTGTTACTATTTCTGGCATATCAAATACGCCATGGGTAGCTTGCCAGGCTTTGCCGTGTGGGCGAGATACTCTCAGTAGCTTCCTGGGCTCTCTGAGAGGGGCGGAGGAATTGAACCCAGGTTGGCTGTGTGCAAGGCAAACGCCCTACCCACTGTGCTATTGCTCCAGTCCTTAATAAAAGAAGTTTATTCTTTTCCAGTTCAAAAATCTTAAAGCCCAGAACTGCAGATGGCCAGAGAAATAAAACTGGTCGAGACACAGACTGACTGAGCAGCTGATTACTGCTCTAATATTTGATACTTTTGCTAAAATTCTGAGAGGAAGGAATATTATCCTGTCGCCTACACCAACATTTGGATATATACTCTGTCTCTAGGTTTGGTTATCATAGTGCTACTCTTTCTAATACTGCTTTCCTACCACTGTATGTGGGAAGGTGAAGAGGAGAGGGAGGGAGATCAATAGCCCCATTCCCTGTATCTGCTGCAAAACGAGCTACTGCCTTGAATAATATCATTCCTGGATTATAAAAAGTGAAGCCAAATAGATATAAGAAGGTATACTTACTGCCACAATGATACCTATAACAATTAGGTAAATCAAATTATTATAATGCCAATATTAATGTTTATTTATTGTAGTATCATTATCTAGGTCAATAATATGGACATTAAGTTGGCTTTACCAAGACCACAAGCTATACAGTTAAGTGCAGAACTGAAACAAAGTCCCATAAAGGACTGTATTTCACCACCATGAAAAGAACTGGGGTATATTCTGACATACTTTGAGCTACATGTTACATATTCAATAAATCTTCGACTTTGAGGTCACAACGAAGTATCTGTGACAGAGTATTGCATAAAAAGGATAGACATGTTTAGCACTGTAGCACTGTCCTCCCGTTGTTCATCAATTTGCTTGAGCGGGCACCAGTTACGTCTCCATTGTGAGACTTGTTACTGTTTTTGGCATATCGAATACGCCATGGGGAGCTTGCCAGGCTCTGCCTTGCAGGCGGGATACTCTTGGTAGTTTGTTGGGCTCTCCTAGAGGGACAGAGGAATCCAACCCCGGTGGGCCGTGTGCAAGGCCCTACCCGCTATGCTGGAGTGATAGACATGTTTAGAGAAAAATTTTCAAGATCAGGAGTTATATTTATAACATTGATCATAGACCAAACATTTTAAACTTACAGGCCTGCAGAGATGGCACAGTGGTTAAGACACATGACTTGCATGTGCCAGATCACAGTTCAGTCCGAGGCAAAACATGGCCCCTGGAGCATCACAAGCCCCTTGCCCCCAGCAGTGAGTGCCATCTGCAGGGCCAGAACAGCACTGCATCTTCAGGCTTGATTTTTTTTTTTTTCAATTTTTATTAGTGAAACACCATGAGGTACAGTTGTAGATTTACAAATTTTTGTGCTTGGGTTTCGATTATACAATGATCAAATACCCATCCCTCCACCAGTGCCCATTTTCACCACCATGGATCCCAATATCCCTCCCACACCCATCCCTCCGATCCCACCCTGCCTTTGTAGCAGGGCATTCCCTTTTGTTCTCTCTCTCCTTTTGGGTGTTGTGGTCTGCAAAAGAGGCACTGAGTGGCAATCATGTTCGGTCTATAGTCTACTTTCAGCATGCATCTCCCATCCTGGGAGGATCTTCCCAACACCCTTTATTTGGTGCTCCCTTCTCTCTCTGGGCTGCCTTTTGCCCTAGCATGTGCGGCTGACCTCCAAGCCATGGAGTGAACCTCCTAGTATTTATCTCAGTTACTCTCGGAGAGCCCGGCAAGCTACCGAGAGTATTCGATATGCCAGACACAGTAACTCTTGGGTGTTAGTCTCCTATTTTGTTACTTTATGTTCCCAGATGAATGCAATCTTTCTATGTCTGTCCCTCTCTTTCTGACTCATTTCCCTTAGCATGATACTTTCCATGTTGTACCACTTGTATGTAAATTTCATGACTTCATCTTTTCTAACAGCTACATAGTACTCCATTGTGTAGATGTACCAAAGTTTCTGTAACCAATCATCTGTTCTTGGGCACTCAAGTTTTTTCCAGATTCTGGCTATTGTAAAGAGTGCTGCAATGAACAAACAAGTGTAGATGTCACTTCAACTATACATTTTTGCCTCTCTGGGATATTCTCCCAGGAGTGGTATTGCTATGTCAAATGGGAGCTCAATTTCTAATTTTTTGAGAATCATCCATACTGTTGTCCAAAAGGGCTGAACCAGTCGGCATTCCCACCAACAGTGAAGGAGTGTCCCTTTCTCACCACATCCGCGCCAGCATCGGTTGCTTTTGTTCTTTTGAATGTGGGCCAGTCTCTGAGGTGTGAGATGGCATCTTATTGTGGTTTTGATCTGCATCTCCCTGATGATTAATGATGTAGAGCATTAATTTTCCCTTGGAGCCAGGTAATAACCAAATGTCCAGATTTACCAGATGCCCACTGGCCACAATGCCTACGTATGTAAATGCTGATCTTCGAATCTATAGGCTAAGGAGTGATGTACTTTCAAATGGATTGGTTAAGAAAGTATATGTTGTTACAAATCTATTGGCTATGAAATGCGCGGGCTTTGCTGTAACAGCCAGTGAAGGCCTATATAAGATCCCCTTTGAAGAAGTTCAGGGTCTTGTCTCACCTATCTGACCTGCGTGTCTGTGTAGGTGGCTTGACCCTGGCTAGCCAGTCTTACAATAAACCTTGGTTGCTGTTTGCAGTCTCTGGAGTCTCTTTGTCCTTAAAGGGAGATTATGATCCGCATCCTAACACGGGAAGATAACAATGCAGAGTTTCCTGCCCTGGCGCCTGGCTGTCCACAGAGGGGCCCCTTGGAGGGGGGGTGCGTTGAGTTTCCCTCCCCACCCCAAGCAGAGCTCTGGCACCTGAAGACCTCCAGAACCAGCCACAGCCATGCTTAAGACCACTCCTCACATACTTGGACGAGCCTCACACATGAAGGAACCAGCAGAGGAACCCAGGTGTGCAGGACCCAGGGCTGAGATCTCCAAGGCTGCTCAGATCAGGATTGGTCCTCCTCCACCCAGATCCCCCATCTTCCAGTAGATAGGCATTACATCCACCAACTGCCTCTGGGGCGGTGTAATTCCATCAACGGCCAAGACCCAGAGACTAAAACCAAGCTCCTGGAAGCATGTGGCTGCATCCGCAGGCACACAACTTCTTATTGTCTAGTTCTCAATCTCGAAGAACCCGGCAGGCTATCAAGAGTATCCTGCCCGCATGGCAGAATTTGGCAAGCTCCCTGTGGCGTATTCGATATGCCAAAACCCAGTAACAATGATGGGTCTCATTCCCCTGACCCTGAAAGAGCCTCCAATGTGGCACTTGCTAAAATCTCAGGGCTAGGACGAATGGAGACTTTACTGGTGCCTACTCAAGGAAATCAATGAACAACAGGATGACACTGAGACAGTAATATGTAAAGAAGGAAATTTCAGCACATACACAACTCCAAATTGGCCCATTATCTAAATATAACACCTAAAGCACATAGGAAAAACAGAGGATGAATTATTTTTAATTTCTTAATGAAAATATTTTTAGACGTGTTACAAAATTCCTAATTTACTCAATTTAAAAGGAACCTTATGTTTTAAAAGGACTTAACAACAACAACAAACTACTTTTTTAAAAACCTTATTTAAAATAGGACAAAACAGCCACACTCTGGGGGAAAATATTTGAAAGTCATTATTTGATAAATACCAGTATTCAGAATTTATGAAGAATTCTCAAAACGTCCGAGCTCGCAAAGCAGTGCAGAGATGCGATAAAGGAAGACCTCAAAGAGAGGAGAGCAGAAGTACTGGTAGATGTGGCAGAAGCCGGGAAAAACATTCATAATGCCCACCTGTCCTTCGCCAATTACAAGACCAAGATGACTGCCCTCCAACGTCCTGATGGATCTATCATATCTTCCAAAAGGGCAATGGAGAAGATTGTCCATGACAATCTACTCAGATCTCTTCGATAGCCACGTCCACCTGCCGACATACCAAATTCTGCAGGATGGATATGTCGTTTCCAATGTTCTCCCTTCTGAAATCCGACACGCCATTTTGTCAATAAAGAAGAGAACAGCACCTGGACCAGAAGGTCAGACTTGAACACCTGAAGAACCTGCTGTCAGTACTCATCAATACACTGGCTCGGCTCTTCACACGCTACTTGTCTGAATGCAAGGTTCCATTCCAATGGAAAACCAGCAGGACTGTACTACTGTACAAGAAGGGAGACATCCACGACATTGGTAACTATTGCCCGATTTGCCTATTGTCTCATCTATAAGCTGTTCACTCGAGTCATCCTGAATAGGATTGGCAGAACACTAGATGAAGGAAAATCATGTAAGCAAGCCAGGTTCTAAAAAGGATTCAGCACCATTGACCATATCCACATGATAATCAAGCTCACTGAGGTTTCTCCTGGTGTTCAAGATGCTGCTCTGTCTAACGTTCATTGATTTAAAGAAGGTCTTTGATTTTGTTGAGATGGAAGCAGTCATTGAAGTCCTAGCCAATCAGGGCATTCAAACACAATACATCAGGATCCTCTGTGAGCTGTATTACGGATTCACTACCAGGATCTCACCATTCTACAAAGACGTGATCATCCATGTCAAGAGAGGGGTTCAGAAGGGTGATACCATTTCACCGAAACTCTTCAGTGCCACCCTCAAGAACATCATGCGACGACTGGAATGGGAAGGAATGGGAGTGAAGATAGATGGTCGGCAACTACACCACTTCCGCTTTGCTGATGACATCGTTCTAATAACACCAAACATTAGCCAAGCAGCACAAATACTGGCCAACTTCGACCGTGTGTGTGGAAAGGTCGGACTACAGCTGAATCTCATGAAGACAATGTTTATGAGAAACAGCCTCATTCCTGACGCTCCATTCGCTCTCAATGGAACGACCATCTCCGAATGCAACAGTTATGTGTACCTAGGTCGAGAAGTCAACATGACAAATGACCTGGCACCTGAGTTGCACAGGAGGAAGAGAGCAGCTTGGAACGCCTTCAAGAGTGTCAAGAAATAGCTAAGAGGACGAAGAACCTCTGGCTCCAGGCACATCTCTTTGATTCCACTGTTCTTCCTGCATTAACATACGCCTCAGAGACCTGGGCCCTACGAAAACAGGATGAGAATGCTATTCAGGTCTCCCAAAGAAAAATCGAAAGAGCTATGCTTGGAGTATCACGTTCCACTCAAATGTGAGAAAGAATCTGGAGTTTCGACCTCCGTCAATAATTAAGAATCAGGGACGCTGTCTCATTTGCCAAGCCATCGAAAATCAGATGGGCTGGACACGTAATGAGATTTGGAGACGACCACTGGACTAGAGCCATTACCGACTGGATTCTACGGAATGTCAAAAGACTGCGTGGCCGCCCACTTACCAGATGGTCACACTTTTTTGTCAAGACCCTGAGGCTCTTCATGTTCTTAGAATGAACAGACGCCATTGGGCTACACTACCACATGACAGGGACAAATGGAGACGTTACTGGCGCCTGCTCGAGCGAATCGATGATTAACGGGATGTCAAGCGATCTCAAAACTTGCCTGAATATATACCTAAAAGTAACTGAAATTATCTATTACATTTAAAGAGTATTTAATTTATATATTAAAGTAGGTAAATGCATGAGAAAAAGTTTAAAACAGACATTTACCAAGAAGACATATAGATGTCAAAACGTCCTCCAGACTCATTCATGGTGTCACAAATGGCAGGATTTTCTTATTTTTATTCAGTAAATAATACTTATTTAAAAGTATCACTTTACAGACTGTGCTTACACAGCCTCTGTACAGAAAACCAAACACAGCACGTCCTCTATAAAGCATACCATCAACTCCACGCTGGTCACATAGAGACCCCTCAAGCATATGTACTCTGACCCTGATCCATGAATTCATCTGGGGATGGAATGAGGGTGGGGAATTGGGCCACCCCCAGCAGTGCTCAGGGCTTATCCCTGGCTCTGCACTCAGGGTTCACTCCTGGCAGTGCTGGGAGGACCATATGTGATGCTGGGATGGAACCAGGTCAGTCATGTATAAAAGCAGGCAGTTGCCTTCACCCGTCCTCTTTCTAGTGACCAGTTCACTCATGAGCAGACAGGCCGTTTCCATGGCCTGGTTACTGTGAATACTGCATGGCATGGGGATGCAGGATCATTTTGGGACAGAGGTGCAACATCTTTGGCTGTACATATAAGAAATGGTGCTGCTGGGCTTGAGGGGGGGGGGACGACAGGAGGGCCTGGGGAAGAGTCAGACTTCCATCGATTTTGCTCCAGCGGGCCCAGTAACATTGTGAGACTTGTTATTGTGTTTGGCATATCAAATATGTCACGGGTAGCTTGCCAGGCTTTGCCATGTGGGTAAGATACTCTCGGTAGCTTGCCAGGCTCCTCGAGGGTACCCATCATGTTCCCACCAACTGTGTCCCAGGGTCCCTTCCCCACACCCTCACTAATTCCTACCTTTATTTTTATTTTTTTCTAATATCTTCTTGTCCATTATTTTCTTCATTATTTTTATTTATTTTTTTATTAGTGAAACACCATGAGGTACAGTTATAGACCTTTATTTTTTTGATAAATCATTCTAACAGTTTTCGGTATTTCTCTGTAGTTTTGATTTTCATCTCCACAGAGATGCTGCTGAACACCGTTCCCTATGCCTGTAAGCAGTCTGCATCTTAAGGTAAGTGTCTAGTCAGACCCTTCCTATCCTGTTGATCCAGCTACCTGGCTTTGACTAGAGTTGCTGAGCACCTTCCAGGGCCTGGCTACTGAACTCTAACAAACACATGGGCTGCAAATATTTGCTCCGGCTACCTCAGTCTTTCCCTCCATGGACTTTTCTTTTGGCTGCTGCTCGCTATGTGAAGTACAATAAGCCAGACCTAGAGAGACAAAACTCTGGGGAGGGACCAGAAGGGCAAATGGGTGTGGATCTGTAAACAATGACCTGAGAGGAATTCCTGACAGGAATCCTTTGCTCTCCAACCGCACTGGGCCTTTGCGCAGTAAGGTTACTCTCCAGAGAGCCTCTGGAATGGATTCAGTTTGGGCTATTGGAGGGCTCTACTGGGGTCCAGTTCTGCTCCTGCCCCCACACATTCAGGGGAGATATTTGTGAGAAGCTCTGGTACCTGAAGCAAAGGATCCTCAGAGGAGAGATACTTCCTCCTCACATGCTGAGCTTCTAGATAGGATTAAAGAGATGCTCTTGCCCATGAAGTACATAACAAAAATAGCAAACTTAGCGCATTAATCTATGTTATGCTGAGCACCAAAAAGTAACGTAATTAAAAGATTTTTCTTCTTTGTGAATGTTTTTCTTTAAAATTTCTTTTATTGTCATTGTAGTGGGCTGGAACGATAGCACAGTGGGTAGGGCGTTAGCCTTGCACGCAGCAGACACGGCCGACCCGAGTTCAATTCCTTCGCCCCTCTCGGAGAGCCCAGCAAGCTACCGACAGTATCTCGCCCACATGGCAAAGCCTGGAAAGCTACCCATGATGTATTTGATATGCCCAAAAGAGTAACAACAAGTCTCACAATTTGTTGTGAGATGCTACTGGTGCCCACTCGAGCAAATCGACGAACAATGGAAGGACAGTCATTGTAGTTAAGACTGACACACTTACAAGAGTATTAACATTTATGGTCTTGGGGACTGGAGAGAAAGTACAGTGGGTAGGGAACTTGGTTGTGCAGAGCCAACCCAGGAACCATCCTCTGCACCCTATCTGGTCCTCCAAACCCCACCAGGAGTGATCACTGAGCACAGAGCCAGGAGTAAGCCTTGAGCACTGCTAGTGTGGCCCCAAAACAAACCAAAAAATGTCCTTCAAAGAGATGCCAATCTTTGATTTAGCAACTGCATGCTTCTAAGCTTCTGTCGTCTGGTTACTTGTGTGTTGTTTGTTACTATCTAAGGAAATGTAATCCCAATTGCTATGTTGCACAGGTTCATTTGATAACTATTGTGCTCTATTCGTACTTCATGCAAAACATAAATATTATTTCTGACCCCGAAAACACAAGGAGGCAAGGACACTAACATGCTTTCTCTAGGAACTTTTACCCTTAAGGCAGGTTTTGTTTTAATGGCACCAGGGACCATTCTGAATGTTGATTTCTAGAGGCAATGAGACACCCCACAACAATAACTCCGGCAGATGGGTGTGACTCTGCCAAGCGGCTGCAAGTTTTCAAAGACTCATCTCTTATACATGATCTCTCCATCTTCTACTAGGAATTAATGGGAAGAAATTCTAGACAGTACAAACATGAATTCACATATATTTGATGATCACCAAAGCATGGGGAAAGTAACCAAAAGAAGGGGGGAGCAGCGAATGCCATTGTTAGATGTTAGATGTTCTGTTAGATGTTCCAATTAGGTTTGGAACATCTAACAGATTCTTCTGATCACATATTTTCTAAAAAGACACTACTAGAGCATTAAAAATGTTCAATAAAATTAAGTAGGAAAATCAGGTGTATATAACAATGCAATATTTATTTTATGGAGCAAAATTGATATATACTTAGAGGGATTGGAGTGACAATACAGTAGGTAGGGCATTTGCCTTGCATCTGGCTGACCCAGGGTCAATCCCTGGCATCCTATATGGTCCCCAAGCCCCTCTAGGAGTGAACCCTAAGCACAGAGCCAGAAGTCAGTCCTGAGCACAGCAGAGTGTGGCCCCCAAACCGAAATAAATAAATATTAAAAAAATAAAATAGTTTAGACATAGTACTATGTAATTAAAGCAAAGCTGAATGACAGCTGAAATTATATTGTCAGCTTTAACATCTACCACTTATTTGGAGCTGAGCCCTGAGAATCCCTCAATGCAAACTCCAGTTCTCTCCCACTTACCTGAGAAGGAGTTGTTACACTGATTTCTGGAACAAAGTTGTCCTCAAAGAAATTGATTATATTCTCCTGCTTCAGTTCCTTAGTCGGGGTGACTTTTGGCAGAGGTGGAACAGGGGGTCCTTTCCTTGTCTACAAAGAATGAAATATAAACAACTAGTTAATTAGCCAAAGATGACATGTGAGGATTAAAAAATGTCACGTAAGCAGAGTTCATGGAATACTAAGTACTGGTTAAATTTCAAAATTCAATGCATACAGAATTATAGTAAGCCCTCATTAACTCCCCTGTAAGATTCTGTAAAGCAGGGCATGAAGCTAAAGGAGAAAAGGAGGTACAACAAAATCAGATCCTCAAATAACATCCTTTAAGCCTGTGCCTGCCAGATTATTTTTTCTCATCAACATCATAACAACTTTGGACAAAATGAGGCTTGTAACGGATCTCCTCTAAGCCTACCTGGCCCAGGTGAAGAATGCTGTCTCCTGGTTCTCTGAGTCATGTACAGGGCCGGGTACCTAGGCCTTCAAAGCTAAACTAAAGCACTATCTCCTCCGGAACCAACTGAAAATAAATCATCTCTCACTTTTGCAGTGAACTAGAATTGAAAAACTGAAGTCGTGCAAGCCTGTCACTGGGATCATAGTGACCACTATAGACAGCACACTTCCCTTTCCTAATGGACGTTTAACCCAGTTAAACGTCAGAGGTTTAACTCAGCTCCCTCTATTATGTGTCTCTTCTTACAATTTTCCTTAGTTTTAACCAGACATGTTAAGCAGTTTTCAAACTTTGCAGTTTGTTAAGTTTTCCTTTTCACCTAAATTTGGTGGTAATCTTTTTCTATTTACCTTTCTCTTACTATTTTACTTGTTCCCTGAAATTTGGTTGAGTAACATGTGCAATATCGGAAGAAATGACAATCTTATATCAATAGAATGGTTTTTCTTTGGCTGTTCTGCATATCCTTTGAACTAGCTGAAAGAGATTTCCTAGAGAAAGTAGGATTGGATGGAATCTTGCAGAAAGGATTCTAAATTCCTGAGATAAGGCCATGAACGTTGCAGGGAGTAGAGACTGGGGAAAGAATTCTTGACATTCCCAGTCCTAGAGTACATGAGAAAATGCAGAAATCCACAAAAGGAAAAAAAAAGACCCGATTTCTTGGAGACAGTCCAAACATGCAAAGACTCCAAACATGCAAAGACTCCCATCACAGAGGCCCCCAACCAATGTCCCCAGGACTGCCCAGAACAGCAAGATCAGCCCTGATGGCATCAGGTCACCCCATTCTTCCACCCTCCAACACATGTCACTTTGTTTCTACCTGTGAAGGTGACCTTGGTCGCACGGGGGCAGGGGACGCAGGTGCCAAAGTATGATTAGGACTAGCTGTCGGGCTTGGGAGGGGTGAAGGCTCCTCAGGAGGTGAAGGTGTCTTTGCCATGCGGAGAGGACCGGAGTCACTGGATGGACACAGACAGAGAGAGCAAAGGGTCTTCCAGCGAGCAGCGCTGACTCACCTGGGTCACCATGCACAGGACTGCGGGGCGCAGCACACACTGCTGCAAGCTCCCCCTTGCTCTGGGGAGTGCCATCGTCTTTATGAGTGCCGCAAACTGTACCAGCTCTGTTTCTGCTGTGGGTCAGAGTCCACTCATCTGTTTAATCACTGCAATCCCCAGATACTACTGTTCACTTGACAAATAAGTAAAGTGTTGCACAAACAGTCAGAGAAGCCCTACAGTCACTCAGAAATTTAATTAATCTAAATTGATGCTTGAGCAATGCGTCTCCCCTATTCCTTCCACTGTGCAGGAGTCTGCAAGAGTTTTCCAAATATAAGGCAAATGAACTACACTCTTGATATATATATATATATATATATATATGTATATATATGCACATATATACACATATAAAGCATCCTAAAAAATCTACCTTGATGATTTAAAATTTGACATCAAAAGGCTTTCTCAAGATGATGGTCATGAAAATTCTGTAGGAGGGCTTTTTAATAAAATTTGAAAATCTATTAACTCATCAATCTCCTTCCCGCACCTTATAGAATAATTACCCAATTCAAATATCCTGACATGTACAAACAAATTATGTGCTGGCTGCGATTCACTGGCACTTTCTAACAACTCACTATGCTGCTGAAACAGGCCCAGATGTTTGTGAATAGCCCAAACCCAAGGACTAAGAGGTAAGTGGGGACAGCCTACTCTAAAACTCTACAGTCTACTGCTAGAGGTCTGCACCTCAGAATACATGAGCAAGTAAGCAGCAGCTTGGTGCACAGATTCCAGGAGTAGGGAAGGGCTGTTCAGAGAGAACAGATGCACCCCATGCCTGTGGCTCTATAAGCACAACCATGGGCTCTGTTGGGAAGCAGAGCATGAATCTGTGCCTGACAGAGAACCCAGTGGATGGACTCACCTCACCAGACTGCAGAAGGGCATTGAGAAAGATGAAAAGAGCATTTGTTAAAGGGGCCCCAACTTGCTCTCCACCTGATCTGACTCAATCAACATCGAATATTTCATCCTCTAGGAGAGAGCAACCCTGAATTTATTCATGTATTTTATTTCTCAGAGTCAAATACTAGTATTCTTATTTTAGTTCTTCATTCATTCCTAGACACAAGTTGATATAAGTCTATCTTTGAAAGTAGCTAACTCATTCAGATATTATTTTAAGGAAGAAGTACTTAATGTTCACATTGTGTAACTATTATAATAGAGATTGACAGTGCAGCTAATCCAAACAGCAGTGAATAAAACTAATGAGCTATACCCAGAGGGATTCTCTGACTGACACATGGAGATGAGGGGTGTATGTGTGCGTGTGTGTGTGAGTGTGTGTGTGTGTGTGTGCTAAGTGCATGTTATAAATGTCTGTTTGAGGCTATAGCATATAATAACATTGAAACCTTAAATATAAACCTTTGAGGCTATATAATACTTAGAAGTTGGCTTGATATGAACGTTTTTTGTCTGTGATCTTAAAAAACAAGATGATTAACCAAAGAGGTTACTGGATTCACTCAAATAAAGCAAGTCAAGTTAACCAGTCGCAAAACAGTCTTCTAACTCCCAGCCCAAAACTCACCAGCCTGCATTCCTTGAGAAGGACAGATTCAATATGACCCCCAGTCACAGGAGATGCTGGGAAGCCAGTTGGTGAGCAACACATAGAAGCCACCTTTGGATTTCTGGGTCTTTGGCACTTGAGTGCAAACTCAAAACAACAGCGTGTAATGAAAGAAAGAGTACAGTGCTTTCCAGGTCGGGAGAACCAGGAGAGAAGGAAGTGGAGAGACCTTGACTACTTTCTCTCTCTTTTCGTCAAACATTTGCAGGAAAGAAAGGTCAATGGCAGAGAGAAAGTCTGACTGAACTATCATGCGCTTTGAGAATTTCTCTCTCCACCAAAGAAAATAGCAAGTGCTCAGTAAGACATTATATATTTCAATTTCCATACCACTGCACTCTGGATCCATGGGATGCAGAGAGAACCAGTAATTGTCATTTTATTATATGACTGCGACATTGTGAAACAGCCAGTAGGATAAATACACGATGGCTGAAGGTAAATGTGGAAGCTGGGAAGGAAGGCTGGTGTGGGGCTCCAGGGGAATGGTTCTAATTTAGGCCCAGACAGAATGACACAATCGCACAGGCGAGCAGGGCTAAGGAAAGCTCAACACACTGCACAAAGGGACACAAGAGGCGAACTCGGCTCTGAGGAACAGGACCTACCTCGGGGCTCCCTGAATGGTGAAGGCCTTGTCAGCATGCTGGTCGCCCAGTTTCGTCATCACCTCAAATAGTTTGTGGCAAAGCTAAGGGCAGAGACACTTTTCTATTAGTTGCAAGTCATTCTGGTGCCAATGAGGATACTGTGCCAAGCAAGGAGCTTCGTCTTGAAAAGCTACAACTACTATGGTAGTATGAGTAGTTAGTTTCAGGATAACTGAAGTTGTGTACAAGAGATAATTTAAAAATATCACCCAAACTGAGTGGCCACAAACATACACACTAAAAAAATGAAAATATTTGTATGAATGACTTCAGAGCAGAAAATAAAAACTTACTGTTCTTTGGATCCTTCCATATAGAGTCACAAACTACTGTATAGAACTAAGAAAATATTAGACAATAAGAGCTGCTAATTTATCTGAATATCTACAGTCTAGACTATAATGTTAAACTCCCAATTTTTCCCCCATTCTATAATGTTAAACTTCAATTTTAAAATCTGGATTAAAAAGAAAAAAGACTGTAAGACAGAAAAATGAGAAAAAGAAATCAAAGAAAATTAAAAGCAGGCACTTATTTATTAGTTTTTTTAATAAGTAAAGTAAAGTAAAGTAAAGGCCCGCCCGTTGATCATCGATTTGCTCCAGCGGGCCCAGTAACGTCTCCATTGGAGACTTTGTTGTTACTGTGTTTGGCATATCGAATACATCACGGGGATCTTGCCAGGCTCTGCCGTGCGGGCGAGATTAAAATCTTTAAAAGATATAAATGTGGTCACGACATAAAAACTGTGAACTATTACTGAGAGTATTAAGAGATATGTACAAAAGAATTATTTTGCAAAATTTTGTCATTTCATTTGCTTCCAAAATAAACATTCAATTACTTTATATTCTATAATTCATAATGAATTAATACTCACCACTGCAATTTCCTTATGAAACTTGGCCTCGAGGCTAGAGACATTTTTGAAAGTATTGACGTAAAATCCAATTCGTCTACCACGTATACATATAAAGAGAAAAAATAGAGGGCAAAGACCAGTAAGTAATACTATTTTAAGTGGCAAATACATTTAATACAAATTTTATTTATAATAACACCAAGTAACACTGGATGAAGTAAATATTTAATTCAAAGAATAACCAAGCTTTCCTTTCATGTTGGTGAACAAAATAGTATTTTTTTGGTATAAAGCCTTTCCTAAAATGTAGTTAATATTATAAATTTTAGCCCGTATAGGGATTACCTGGATATTGTAAACTTATTAAATATATATTTTGCAACCAGCTATAAAAAAACCACTAGATGATTTGTTTCTGATTTAGCAGGTCTGAGGTGGGATCTGAGAAGTTCCATTTCTACAAGTTCTAGGTGGTACTGATACCACAACAGGAGTTAACTAATCCTCTTGGAAATACTCCCTTAAGAATTTGTTTGTACTTTAGGTAAATGTCTTGTAAGTATTTTGAGACAGAGGAGGTTATACTTGTTTGAAAGAAATTTTTTTGAACTCCAAACATCTATTAGCATTTTTCAGCCACAGGCAGCGTTTTCTATTGATGACAAAGATCTCTGACAGCTCAGAAACAGAGACTCTGTGACAAGGTCCCTGCATTTTCCCATTTATGACCCTAGAAGGAAATGTATCAGAAATGGATTCAATTCTAGATCCCCCCAGTGGAAGTTCCCGGTATCTCAAAGAGCGGGTAATTTGACAATTTTTTCTTCCTTCCATATCTGTTTGAGCAAATGACTACTCTGATTTAATTCGTATTGGCAGAGCAATAGCACAGTGGGTAGGGCGTTTGCCTTGCATGCAGCCAACCCGGGATCAATTCCTCCATCCCTGTTGGAGAGCCCGGCAAACTACCAAGAGTATTTGGCCCGCACAGCAGAGCCTGGCGTATTCAATATGCCAAAAACAGTAACAACAAGTCTCACAATGGAGATATTACTGGTGCCCGCTGGAGCAAATTGAACAATAGGAGGACAGTGCTACAGGAGAGTGCTACAGTGTTGCTTCAATGAGATCTTCAAAATGAACACTATCGAACCCTGATTGGTTAATTTGATTTCAAGCCTTAGTCAAAGCAATTAAAGACATAGCCACCAAACATATTAGGTAAGTCTAAAACATGAAAACACATACATTCTGGGAGTTTATAAGAATGTGACCATACACAATAGGCACCCATCTGCTTTAAACTGCGAGGAAAAGATAGGAAAAGGACACTCATTTGCTGATGAGAGGTTCTTTCTGTGTGTAGAATTCTAATATGCAGCAAATGATGTTCCATTATCATTAACATCAGAGAAGTCATCTAAGGACTTTCAGATGTTCACTCAATTCTCATAACGACTCCCAAGGTAGTGATTCTTTTTTTATATCCAGGAAAGAGGCATAGACATTAATTGTCTAGCATCATGTAGTTGTCAATCGAGGACCAGTAAGGGGAGGAGTTGGAATCCTGAGACCCTATTTGGGGAACAGCACTTGGGAATGTCAGACCCTAAGATGAGATGAGGGTCTGGGGCAAGAAGTTTGGTGCTCTAGGAAAGAGGATTTTCCAGATTACGAAGCATTTATGGCATGTACTTTCAGCTAATGGTGATCAGGGTGGTCTCTGGCATGTCTGAGAGAGGGAAAATGTAGGGAGCTCAGACCTGTTTTCAGAGAGGCTAAATCAGGCAGCATCTGGAAAGAAGGGAAGAGACTGACCCTGACACCTCACTCTGTAGCAGGACGCGGGTCACTGGATTATCTGTGGGAAAATCTTGCTGGCCACTGTGACAGGCTACCTTTATAGCCCACTTGCTCAGCTGACCCCAGGCAACCTAACAGCAATCCCTCACTGCCCTCCCCATTGAAATATTCAACCAAGGCCTATACAGTGTGGGTGTCTGCTCAGTGGTGGCCCAAGGTGGCCAAGACCCAGTTAGAGAACCACCTGTAGGGCTGTGTAATGGACGTATGTTCCATTCATACTTCTGAGAGCAAGAGATAGATTTCAAAATAGTATGTGGATGTGCAAGCCAGGGGTGTTTAAAAGATCAGAAATTAACAGCCTGGACAGAAACATTGAAAGGAACCGAGAAGAGAAACAGCATGTCCCAAGCCTGCAAGGAACACATGGGGGAGAAGGCAAGAGAATGAAAGACTGGGAGCCAGGGGTGCCGCTGGGGGCAGGTGGTGCTACGATTTTATCGGATTTTTTTTTTTTGGCAATCTGATCATCAAAACCCTATTGAGATCCATGAATTTTAATTGTACACAGAACTCAGATGTCCAAGGGATATGCCCAGCATGTGCATGCTGAATGAAAGGTTCATACAATATAGCTCTGATGCACACAAACTGCTCCCATGTAACCAGACCTTTGCTTTCCCTCAACTTTAAATGTCTTTAAACCAAGGGCCAGAGTGAGAGTATGGCACAGACGGGCATCTGTCTTGTACACACTGACCCGAGTTCAATACCCAGCACCCCAGAGGGAACCTCAGGAGTGATCCCTGAGCACAGCCGGGTGTGGTCCAAAACAAAAAACTAATAATACAAACAAGCAAAAAGCCACAAAAGTCTTTAAACCAAATCTGTGTAAATTGGAAGACAAAAAGCTAGCATTTCACTGACTTTCAAATTTATATTAATTAATACTGATTATACTCAATCATTGTTTTCTTTTTTTCTTTTTCTGAGCCATCTATTCATATTTTTGATGTATACATATTTTTCTTATTTCTTTATTTGCAGACAATTTTCTTTTAAACATACTGAGCTTGAATGCATTCAGGCAAAACAAGAATCCCCATTCTTCTTTAAATTTTATTTTCTGATATACAGCATATCTTTCCTTGTTTACAGTGATGATTATCTAGAGCAAAAACTGGCGTAGCACCTGAAATAAACACTTTATGTAGAATTCACTGTCACTGTCCTCCTATTGTTCATCGATTTTCTCGAGTGGCCCCAGTAACGTCTCCAGTGTGAGACTTTTGTTGTTACTGTGTTTGGCATATCAAATACATCACGGGTAGCTTGCCAGGCTTTGCTGTGCGGGCGAGATACTCTCGGTAGCTTGCCAGGCTCTCCAAGAGGGGTAGAGGAATAGAATTCTGGTTGGCCATGTTGGCTACATGAAAGGCAAACACCCTACTCGCTGTGCTGATAACTAAAAATATTTATATTTATCTAATATATTGTGGTTTATCTTTAGAATTTAATAATTAATTCATTGAGAATGTATTTGATTTTTTTACAAATGGCTCAATGTCTCTGATATAAGTCATCTAATTTTCGGTAATTTTCTCTAACTTATGAAATCAGAGACTAGTTCACTACTAGTTGATCTAGCACCGGATGCAGAGCAAGCAACAGGAAATACTCCAAGACTGAATGAAGAAATGAACAATGAGGAGCCAATGAAAGAATCAGTCTATACATTCTGTGCACATTCTGATTATAACCATGGCTTAGAAAATAAACAACAAACAGCCCAACACTGATATTACCAGCACTAAAACAGATGATGACAAGGCATGTCAGGTTCTAAATTTAAAGATTATCTACTTGGAAAGTTTCAAGTTTCTCAGAAACGGAGACTCTGGGACATCACCACTTCCTCAAGAGTTGACAGAGAGCTTCAGCTCCTTCTGCCCAGTTGTCAAGAGTCAATTTCTTTATTAAGCCCTTTCCTTCTTTGGGAACATTAGCAAGAATTAGAAGCAAGCTGAATACAACTACGGTTTGCAAGCCACGATCCTCTCTGCCCTGCAGATGCCAAGGGAAAATTCCTCGGGAGGATCCCTGCCACATTCTTGCCCCTGCAACAGGGGAGGCAGCCCTTCTCCTGTCACACTTCTAGGTGGGGGACAAAAGTCTCCTTCAGTCCCTTATCTGCTGAGCTCATTTAAATGCCCATTTCTGAGACTCATGCCCCCCATTCTAGCTTTCTCACAGCTCACCCATCAATCCCATGCCCCCGAGTGACCCCACTGACTGTCTACAATGACAGATTATTTCACCAAACTTAACATCAGCAGATAGCATGAATATGATCATGCAGCCATAAAACCCAACAACTCCAAATCTGCTGACTCCTGTGATGCCAGAATCCTTAGATTGTGTTCTGTGAGGATTTACTGTTTCCAGACCCAGATCTTACTACTACTTATGAATGAAATGAAGAAATCCAGTAGCCTACCCACTAATCTCATTTCCCAGGCCACAAGATCATTTAGTCACTTCCAACCTTCCACTATTTTTTTTATCTCTGAGATCACTGTCCCTTTTCTTATGGGCTGATGCTCTTCTTAAAATTAGCATTTTGCTTTATCAAGCAAGAGCTGGTGGGCATATGAATCACTGTGCTCAGCCCTGTCAGGACCCCAGTCCTAGGAGTTCCTCACATGCCGAAGCACCTCGGACCTAGAGCACCCTACCTTTGCCACTGCCATCTTCTCGAAATGCCAGAAGCTCATCTTCAAAGGATTCTATCCTTCTAGCTGCTGCTTCTCGTACCACTTCCTTATTTTTAGCTTTGAGGCATCTTATTATTAAAAAAAAATAGTACTCATACAAAAACTAGTAAGACAGAGCTTAAAATTCAGGCTTCAATTCTTAGCTTTGACTTTTAGTAATCTTTAGCTTCATTGCCTTGGTTGCTCTATAGGGAGGGTCTCCTTTGACTGGGCAATTTAAAAGTATATAGTTCATCATTGATGAGCATCTCTTATCTTGCCTTTACCGGGAGGAAGAGAGATGCCGAGTGATAATGCAACTTCTGTTTTGTCGTTGTGATTTCATAGGCACCTCTGTGACAGGCACACTGACAGCAGATCTCAGCAGACTTGGAGATTCCATCTGTTTCACAGCGGCCAGCAAAACCTGGTTGGTCCAATTGCTGGCACTGAGCAGGCCACGGTGAGTACAACACATTCCACCCACACAGCGCCGCCACCAACCCAAGCCCCCGCAGGAAAGGCTACTGCCACTATT